CCCGCGGCAATCCGTACGGCTAGGGACTCTGCAGCGAGACATGCATCAGAAAATTGGGCAGAGAGAATTTGTTCAACGTGCGGAATTTAGCTGGATAACAGGGGCAGAGTCGCGGAAGTTCTTACTTAGCTACCTAGTAATGTACTCCCTCCGTTCCTAAATACTCCCTCCGTTTCGAATTACTTGTCTTGAATTTGTCTAGATACAGATGTATCTAGACTCATTTTAGTGCTAGATGCCTCCGTATCTAGACAAATCTACGGAACAGAGGGAGTACTTGTCTTTCTAGGCATTTCAACAAGTGAGCAAAATGAGTGAATCTACACTCTAAAATATGTCTACATACATCCGTATGTAGTAGTCATTTGAAATGTCTAGAAAGACAAATATTTAGGAACGGAGGGAGTAGTAAGCTGCAAATGGGTTTTATTCATGCCTTGGTTGTGCTGCAGGAGGGAGAAGCTTACTCCTGGGAGTTTGATGAAGGCGGTTATCCGGTCAGGCAGGGGAGACGCCACTCCTGCAGATGGAGATCAGGTCAGGGCCGGTTATTTTCCCTTTGTTCCAAACCTTTATTTGCTGCAGACTATTGTGACATAGGGCTTTGTGAATCAAACTTTTGCCATCTTACTACCCTCAGCCTTTCTGGAAGCCCAGTGCTCTCGAGAATTTTATTGCTACTGCTAGTCTAACTTATGAACAATTGAAAAAGTATGTACATTGACCACATGGTGTATGTGGTAAGCAACCTCAAAACAAACAATGTCAAGAATAAGTATGTACATTGAATTGAGAGTACCTAGTAACGATGTCTCTGAATGATGTTTGTTCAGGATAGAAGTTTGTTCGTCACCGGGTGGGCTGGGCTGGCTTTATAACTCTATGTATTTTCTGATGACAAATACCTCTAGTTCTACATCACTAAATACTGGAAGTCATATGACAAAAAGCTGGTGCTCAATGGAAATATTTCCTGCAAAGGTTTTCATGAAATGCTTTACCTTAATATAAAAAGGTTTTAGGGTTTAGGGCCTTTGTACTGTTATTGTTGAATAATGAAGAAGTCCTTTAATTCTAGTTGATCGAGCCAATCATCAATTTGTGCAATATCCATCTATTCATTTAAAAACGGATGATCACATCACGGCTCAAATTTTGAGGTGCTGTTCAGCACTCAAGATAATACAGACGAAATCATGTGCCTTTATGTCCTATAAATGTTCAGGGCCCTCATGATGGCTTTCTCGACCTTTCACTGGACAATCTCTGATTTTTTTTTGTTATAGGAGACAGTGGGACATTTCGTGGTCAAACTCTTTGTTAATTCTAGTCATTTTGCAGGTCATACTTCATTGCACTATTCGAACCATGGAGGGCATTGTTGTGAATTCTACAAGAAGGGAACATGGAGGTGATTAGGCAAAACACATTTAGCACAGCACTACATATATACAGTTCTTTTAGTTTACAAACACCATCAGGATGCTTCGGACTCGACAGATTCTTATCTTCATAGAAATTTAGTGCTTCCATAGCCATCTTCCAGTCGGTGTAGCTTTCAAGTATCAAGCTACAGATTTGCAGTCTTCTAATAGCAGATATAACATTAAAGTTTTTGCATGCCGCGAATAAAGAAAAAAAACAGTTCAGTGATATCGAGCTTTGCTTGTTAACCCTTCCAGTAAAAGCACTTACACTATGCTTCCTTTCATCTTGCATTACGACATATATTAGGTTAGACGAGATAAATGTAAAAACTTTTGTTAGGATATCTATCTTATAATTCACTTTCACTGCCACATGCATTTATTAGTATCTATACCTTTCTCTTTTTTTAGGTACTCAGCTCAGTGTATTGGGGCTCTAATCATCTCGTTTTACCATTATTATTATAACAGGAAAAGGAATCCCACTCAGATTTGTGTTGGGGAAAAGCAAAATGATCCTTGGCTTTGCTGAAGGCTTTCCAACAATGCTGAAGGGTGAAATTGCTATGGTATTCTGTTAAACAGAGTGCAACTTGTAAATTAAATAACAAGAATGTTGTAGGAAGGGCACATATTTCTGAGAATGCTATGGTTCAAATATGCATGTCCTGAATTTGCAAATA